ATAAGAAGACAACAAAGTGATTATGTGCCCTTAAAATCTTTTTATTAAAGGTTTCCATTTGCTGTAGGAAAAAATACCCAAATGTATGACCGCATGCTATTGCATGAGCTGACTCTTGCCTACCTCTTGAGCTTTTTTCAAGGCACTCTTCCTCTCGCGCTCTACACTTTGTTGTACCTTTTCCAGTTCTTCGCAGGAATGATGCACTTTTTGTTTCCTCTGCCTGAAACACATTTTTTTCCTGTTATTCCTCTCTTCACTGACTGCTATGCAGAAATCTTACTTTTCTGAGGAAGGCCTTTCCTGACTCACTAGACTCTGTAAGATCTCCCTATAATCTGCTCCCCATGTTGTAACTTCCATCAAGGTAAAATGTGTCTTCTTTCCCCCTGTATCCTTAGTGACTAGCCAGCCCTTGGGATATACACAATAAATACCTATTGAATGAATTAATGTATGTTCATTCCTGCTGGTGAAAACTAATGTGCTTTGTACAGTTTTCTTTTAGAGTTGTTTACAAATTTAAATGTTAAAAATCAAAAATTGTTTTTCTTTAGCACCGTTTAAAAATGTTTAAAATGTTAGTATTAATCTAGTTATTAACAGTATGCTTTTTACACTGAGGTACAAATTCAGAGAGTTGCCTTTCACATCCAAAGAGAGAGTTTGGTGTGAAATTTACCTAAACATGATTTCAGCTGCTTCTGCCATCTCCAATTCTCAACCAGAGTGCCTATCTAGGATTCCAACAAGATTTTAAAAATATATCTATATTTAAATCATGTCATAATCGATGAACAGCTTTTTGTTTTTTTACTGTATTAAAAAAATATCATGGCCATTACTCTGTTACACACAAATTGTTATGGTGATAAGTCATAATTGGTGGGAAGTATTTTCCCCCCCACAATCACTGTATGCTTTTGGTTTTAAGATACCAATACTTTGGAAGTGTGATTAGTCCTCCAAACAGCAGGTCTAGATATGCCCAGTCAAGCATCTGCACTGGCTGGTTGACTAAGAAGTGGTTCAATGGCAGCTCCAGGACTGCACTAGACCCATCCAGTTCTAGCTGGAGCCCTTTGTAGGGTGGGAAGACAGCAGAAGCAATTTCATGTATCAGGGCATTAGGAATGGCAGATTCTTTCCTGAATTAATAATTGAGGTACTCAGAATCCATCTGCTATCTAACTACCTTTCCTCTATCGTGCGAAAGAATTCAATCTGTTATTTACATGTGCCCAGAAGGCCTAAGAGTAGTCAATGCTAGGGAGCTCCTAGCATTGAGGGGGCAGTCTCAATCCATAAATAGGGTCAACAGAGGAACAAAAAATCAAACCAAAAGCAGGATACTCAATTAAATGGAAATTTCAAATACACAACAAATAATTTTTAGCTTAAGTCTGGCCCAAATATTGCATGGAACATGTACTAAAGTGTCCTATATTACCTGGCAATTCTAATAGTCAATTCAACTAAATTTCACAAATATTTGGAGGGCTTACTTATCTGAAAGAAGAGAGGATGGAAACTTGGTCCAAAGTCAGCAACCTTTGTCTACTAAAATAGCTTTGCCTGGGAAAATCTTGATAATAGGCCGCTTAGTACCAACAATGTTTTTCTTTATTTATGAATATTATTTCATATGATCAATTTGGTAAAAAAAAAAGTCTCTTCCTGGAGGAGTTTTAACTGTAGGAAAAAAACCTACTTTAGAAAATGTCCTAAGATGCTTAATATGTTAATTCAAAAATATCTAAATAGAACACACATTGTTCAATGTGTCCCACTAGGGAGGATTATATGGTTCCCAGTTTGACTCTGTTGGTTTGTATGATAGTAGTTCTCCCAGTCAGTGGAAAAGGAAGACAGCAGATCCTTAGGAGTGATAATAGAGCAAATATACTCAGGAGGCACTGACGCATAGCTTCAAACAATGAGGAAGAAGTGAGGCCTGCTTGAGAAATAACTGCAGGAGCAACTGATAAGTGCAGCCCCTTATCCCCTTTTTTACAGAAAAGGTAGAGAAGAAAATTAATCCGGGCTTCCCTGGTGGCGCAGTGGTTGGGAGTCCGCCTGTCGATGCAGGGGACACGGGTTCGTGCCCCGGTCCGGGAAGATCCCACATACCGTGGAGCGGCTGGGCCCGTGAGCCATGGCCGCTGAGCCTGCGCGTCCGGAGCCTCTGCTCCGCAACGGGAGAGGCCACAACGGTGAGAGGCCCGCGTATCGCAAAAAAAAAAGTTAATCCACAGTCACAAGTAGAACTAGTGACAAGCTAAGACAAAACGGCTTCAAATCATAGTTCTCGTTGATAGTGCAAAATATACAGCTTATCACGTTGGTCTTCTAAGACACCCACAGCTAATACTATTGTCAACAACTTTTAAGTCAATTACCAAAATATTTGTCTACAATGTGTTTCAAAGAGTTGAAACAACGGTATAAAACATGACCAAAATACAAGCCAGGATATAATGGTGGTAAGAGTGTTATGTGTTTTCAAAGATGAATTGATCATATTTGGTTCAGACTTCACAAAGGAGATGGTGTTTGAAAATAATTTAAATATGTTCATCAATGGATAATTACAAATTTATGACATAATAAAGATGAATCAGAGTTCCATATCTTTAACAGAAGAAGAGCTGAACTAATGCAAAGATTTCACACTAATTATTCTGTTACTAGTAATAAGGTGACGCATTGGATAGAAGAATGTTTTTGAAATAGACTTCGCCTGTACTTTTTTGGTTTCAAGTAGGTAAGTCTTCAGGGGCTTTTGTTTTATATTTGTCTCATATCCTGGTAACAAACTACTTGGCACACAGAAGGCACATATTTAATTTTAAGATAGAAACCTTAGGAATCATTTCAACTCATCATTTATCACATCCAATTTGTCACTAGGCCCTGTAAATTTACCTCCAGCATCTTTTGAATCCCTTCTCTTTGAACATTTTTATTTCCATTGCCTTATTTCAAGACTTTACTTTTTTAAACCCAGTTTACTACAATAGCTTCCTAATCTACATTTTCTTAAAAGACTTACAACAAAGCATTTCACATCAATCCCTAAAAATATCTACTGCATACTAAAGGGGTCCTCAAACTTCTAGAGAGGAGGCCGAAAATCATATTGTTCTTTGAGAGTGGACTGTAAATAAAAGACCATTTGAGAAAATTTGAGGTGTTTAGGATTGGTCAAGATGAGGCAAAGGATAATGAAATGACCCTTCAAATTCTGGATGGGAAACTAGCAGCCCATGGTTTGCAGTCGTAAAATGGTCAATCAAATTCGAATCGGAAGTTATCTTAGGACCATGTGTCCACTAGCTATGTGCATTATTATCTGGAAGCAGCTGGTCTTATCGACTTATGGAATGACTTACTGAACGCTCAGCTATACGGCCAGCTGCAAGGCAACATCTTGAGCAGTTAGGGGTACATCTTTTTGGATGAGTTGATATTTTGAACAAAAAATCTCTTATTTTTCTCATAGTAAAATTACACTGGTTCAGGGATAAAATGACCCATTCTCATTATTCTTATGTTGAAGTTTAGGGTTCAAAGGAAGAATGTTTCTACTAGGGAACACAATCACGATTCCACTGATTAGTATCTAAAGACTGAATATTTATCTCTCTTCTTGCATGTTTCCATTTGATTTTGAGAAGCTATTTTTTTCTCTGTCTCCACTACTGTATAGAGCATGCAGTATAATTTAAATTATACTTAAATTTACAATTAAGTCCTTGAGGTGATCATGAAGGAACTATGGGAGGAATGGTCATCACCTCAAGACCCTAGACTTGGAAAACAGTGGCCCTCAGTGGCCACTGTATTGTTCTCGCATGAGGTGGAGCTCTGCCTGCTTATCATCTGATAAGCTGGACGCTGAAATCTGCTGCTGTGTACGTGGGCTCTTGTGGTTTTCAAAGACCAACAGTTTTGTTCTCTCTGCTTTGACCCAGGCCTTTTCTGGGCAACTGGTATCTTCCATCCATGTTTCTAACTCCTGGTCCAGTGCTGTTTGACAGGCAAGACATATTTACATGCAACCAAAGGCATAAAAAGAGTTCCTGGAACTGTTTTTGCACAGCACTGAAAACTGATAGCTTCTCCCCAAATATCCTAACTTGATAAAGGAAGGAGACTCTTGTTGCCTGCTAAGAACGCCTTTTTCCTCTCGTTCTATAATGGGCATTTTGTCAGTTCCTAAATTACTTCTTAGTACTGTTGAGGGAGATAGATCCTGGTATATTTGGAGAATGCCAGATATAATAAAAGTGAAGGCAAACAGTATAACAAGTTAAAACTATGTTCCATTGTTGTGGAATATCTAAACGCACCTCTCCCCCGCACTGACCATAAGTATTACTGTTTTCAAAATAATATCATGCAAATACATTTGTCTAACCAGTTTGGGTGGTTAAAAACACTAAGTTCCAAGTACAAGCTTCTTTCCTGTAGATGTCTAGCGGCTTACTAAACCAACGCGTCAACCCAGAGGGTTTTGCCTCGCTCTGAAAGCACCAGGAGGACGCAGGAGCCCTGGGTTCCAGTTCTGGCTTCGACTAGTTTTGTGACTTACACTCGCTGCACCTCAGTTTCCTCTCTGTAAAATGGGGCGGGTATGCGGGCTGGATCTGGATATTCTCTTGACTACCTGAGTCCACCCACAAAGGCCCCAGAAAGCCCGCTCGGGCGCCCACCTTTACTGTGAGGACGGGCGAGGAAAGGGGAGGCAGCTGGACGCCCGCACTCGCCTCCCGTGGGGGGCGGGGAGCCGGGGGAGCGGTCCCGGAGCACCAGCAGTGGGCGGTGCCACTTCGCGTAGAGCCACCTTCCGGCCTGCGCAGGACCACGCGCGCTCGCCAAACGCTCCGGCCGCCCTCCGCTCCCGGCACTCTGGTTCCAGGGCCGCCCAGGGGGACGCGGTTGGCCGCGACACCGGAGGGGGGCGGGTCAGGAAGTGGGGGCGCGGCGGCCGGGAGCGGGCCTGGGGAGGCCGAGGGGTTCCGCAACACGGAGGGCGGGAGACTCTGAGCCGCGCGGGAGCCGGAGGGGCGCCCCGGCCTCCGCGGGGACGATGGCGGAGGAAGAAGGTGACCTCCCTGGGGTCCAGCGCGCCTACTGTCGCCCGAGGTCTCGGGAAAGGGGGCGGGGGCTCGAGGGCCCCGGAGGCCGGGGCTGCGGGCGGCCGCGGCGGTCCGGCGGGAAAGAGCGGGGCGGCGGGGGGAGGTGTGTGGAGAAATTCAGAAGGAGCGGAGTAAATAGCCCGAAGTTGTGTCGGCTCTAGTGGGAAGCGAAAGTGGAGCTTGAAGTTGGGAATCGTGTAGGAAGAGAGAAACCCGTGTGGGGAGTGATGGAGAGGGAGGGCTGTGAGCAGATGACTGATGGGGGTGGGGGACATACTTTGGTTTAGAAGATGTAGGTTTAGGTACTGAATGCATTTTCGAGAGGGATAGTTGTTTAACCAAATGCCCCTCAGTCTGAGTGCGCTCTTTAGAGGTCTGTGGATTCTGACAAATACAAAGTCATCACCGGTGAGAGGAGCCGCAGGCCAAGGGGACAAACAGAGGCAAGGGTTTGGGGTAGACGTGATAAGGTGGATTGGGAGGGCATGAGCAAGCAGAAACTGAAGAAGGTCAAGTTCAGTTACAGGTTAGGGCGAGATGGCAAAGGGAGAAGGGATGTAAGTGGTTTTCGGGGCATCTGGAAGCCAGGAGTACTTCTGGGTGAAAGTGGGTGGGCTGGAGAAAGCTTTTCATGCCCCTTCAGGGCCAATGCCAAGAAAATTATTCATAGAAATCGATAGGTATGAGATAAAAATGCGGAGTTGGGAGGAACTTAGCTAGTGAGAGATGTTATAGGAAACATTCGTGTCATGATATCTTCATGATAGGCATGCTACTTTCAGGCATAGGTATAATGGTGTCTCTTGACTGAGCAGTTAGATTTTTCATCCTTTTGGAAAACATGACTTTTTACCTTATTGAGGGGACTTGTGAATGTGATCTGTTTAGATTGAAGCCTTACTGAACCAAGAGTGGAAGAAGGGAGTTTCAAGAATTCAGTGGAAAGCAATTTAAAAAAATTAATTGTAAGAATTGTTTGCTGTTCTGTGTCTTGCTGTTCTGTCCCTGTGCTCCCTCTTGCTTCATATTTGCCTCATCTTCCTTAAGTTTTCTGTGTTAAAACTGATCTAAATTTAAGACACTCTACCTAAAAACAGCTTCAAAACCAAAACTCTTTGTAGTTGGTAAGGAAGAAGGTAATTCTGTTTGTTGCCTTGGTTTTATCTTTGGTTGCAGTATATGTAATACATTTTTTGATATTTTTTCCTTTTCTGATTAACTGCAAATCTCTAGGGGTAGGTTGATGAGCTAGCTTATATGTTTCCATGAGCACTTAAGTTAAAGCATAAAAAAATTAATACTGCAGTACTAAAAGTCTTTAATATTATATATCATGCAAATGAGAAATTGTTTTAAGAGGTTATAGTTACACCTAACCAAGTAGGTATGATGTAGAACCAGTTATGGTTTCACAAACTATACACGTTTGTGAAATTTAATTCTGTGATATAAAATGAAAAATGATTTTTGTTTGTAGAATTACAGATAATCCAAAGCAATGAAATACATCTTGGAACAATTAATGGATTGAAGTTTTGTTAAAGTTTATTCAACAGAGTTTTTAATTCCATAAATATTTGACTGTCTAATGTGTTAGGTACTGGGATATAATAGTCAACAATGAGTGAGTAATTCTCATTTATTGTAATCTAGTAATGATATTTATAGTAAACATGTCTATGTCCTACGCATTTTTCTGAGTACTTTCCATTTATTAGGCACTCTATACTTTTTTTCAAAATGCATGTTATTGGGCTTCCCTGGTGGCGCAGTGGTTGAGAGTCTGCCTGCCGATGCAGAGGACACGGGTTCGTGCCTCGGTCCGGGAAGATCCCACATGCCGCGAAGCGGCTGGGCCCGTGAGCCATGGCCGCTGAGCCTGCGCGTCTGGAGCCTGTGCTCCGCAACGGGAGAGGCCACAACAGTGAGAGGCCTGCGTACCGCAATAAATAAGTAAATAAATAAAATGCATGTTATCTGTATTCACTGTGTTAAAATTAGACTAAATAGTCTATTTTACTTGTATCCAGATGTTCTCTATATCGCTTTTTGCTTATCATTCACATTCACTTGGATCCTCTTCATTGTCCCACTTTTCTCTAAGTAAATACTCTTTGGGAAATCTCATCTTCTCTTCATGCTGTAGAGGGTCATGGTATTTATATTTATGTTTCCTGGAAGATATGTTAGAGCAAAGAAAGAAGTGATAGCCTTGAGCAGAGTAATGTTCATAATTCACTTGGAAGTTGCTATGTATAGTCTAGATGGACATTTGCAAGCCTATTTGTAGCCCTGTTAACTATCTTATGTGAAGATCACTGAGCCAGAGACTGAAATAGCAGGTTATTTTTGTGGCTATGTTATCATTTTTATTTATTTGACTTTTTCTTTTATTCTTTATTTTTGATATGGTTAGATTCTTTTGTTTTTTCTTCCTTTATTTTGGCTGTTGGGTCTTAATTGCGGCACGTGGGGTCTTCGTTGAGGCATGTGGGATCTTTCTTTGTAGTGTGCGGGCTTCTGTCTAGTTGTGGCGTGTGGGTTTTCTCTCTAGTTGTCGCACAGGCTCCAGGGTGCGTGGGCTCAGTAGTTGTGGCGCGCAGGCTTAGTTGCCCGTGGCATGTGGGATCCTAGTTTCCCGATCAGGGATGGAACCTGCTTCCCCTGCGTTGGAAGGAGGATTCTTTACCACTGTGCCACCAGGGAAGTCACTCTTTTTTTTTTTTTTTTTTAATTGAAATATAGTTGATTTACTACTTTGACTTTTTCTTTACAATGCTAAAAGTATAAGATAGTGAAAAGGAAACCTGAATTCTATCCCAGAGCTTTCCTATCAGGATTAATAATCTAGTTTGTACATAGCTTTGGCCTTTGTTACTTACCCACTTAAAGATTCTGGGCTTTGTTTATCAATTATGAAGTTAAAAGATCAATATAAAGGAAATGAGGTAAAGTTTGCATCCAGTCAGTTTTGATTTAAGGTCACAGGCAAAAAATTTAGGGACAAGATTGAAGGGATTGGTTAAAAAGTTGACTGTATTTCCCAAGTAGTACTTTTTTCTCCCACAGTTTAATGCCACTGAAATTGCCATGTCTTAAAACCAATGCACATATTTAACATGGTAGTGCCAATTTTCCCCTTGAAAAACATCAAATAGTATCTTAAAATATAGGCTTCTTAGAATCAGGAAAATATAGTATTGGAATTCCCTGGCAGTCCAGTGGTTAGGACTCTACGCTTTCACTCTGCGGGTTCAGTCCCTGGTCAGGGAACTAAGATCGCACAAGCTGTGCAGCACGGCCAAAAAAATAATAATAAAGAAAATACAGTATTATAGATCCTTTACAGATTATTTATTTGTATGATAAACATTGCTAATATAGATTCCTGAGAGATGACTGATTAAGATTTATATACTTCATAAATAATGGGGTTCTGTGCAAAATTTTTGTTAAATTCCCTGGTGGTCCAATGGTTAAGACTCTGTGCTTCCACTGCAGGGGGCACAGGTTCCATGCCTGGTCAGGGGACTAAGATCCTGCATGCTGCGCAGTGCGGCCAAAACCAAAAACCAAACCAAACAAAAAAACCATTTATGTGCACAGAGAACACTTTATTAAAATCCTTGTAAAGTGATTGATTTTATAGAGAATTTTTTTAAAAAGAAAAATAATAGCTTTTTGTAAAGAACACTTTATGTGAATATCCCCTTCCTTCCCAAATTATCTTTATCTTAAATGTGTGCTTTTAGACTGTAATAAAAAAAGCCCTATCTAACCCATTGGTCACATAATTTGTTAACTTCCTCAGTAGATTTGTTAACTTGATTTCTGAAATTACCCAATTAAAATTTTTTAATCCAGTACTGTTAATGTGTTTAATCATGCACGTGTATCTACTAAGTATATGTCTGGTGGTTATATTTTTTCCATGTATTCTTTTTTAATAAAATTTAAAATAATAACTTGCATTTGAAGACTTCATTTGGCTTTACATAAATTTTCATTCTTGTTGAATGCTTCTAACTTTTGCTTTAACCCATAGCGGGGGAAAATTAAACGGAAATCATGAAGAAGGAATATAATAATATTTATTAGTTGTCCCAGATTTGTATGCAAAAATACTCAATATCCATGGTATGGCTTTTCTAATAATGTCATTTTGTAATGTATTCACTGACTTTACTACTTAACATGATTATAAAATAAATGATAAATAGTATAGAAATGGTTAAAAATTAACTAGTCAGACAGAATCCACTAAATATACAGTAGTTTTTCCCTCAGTGTGTCAGTGTTTAAAGATATTTTAGCAAACGTGAATTTGCTTTGAAGCTACTTTAAAATCCATTTTACTCATTTTCCACAGTAAAGTTAGAGAATCAGCCATCTGATCATCAGCAACAGTAGCTGATTCATTTCTCCTTTTTTAACTCCTCTTTTTAGGCTCATTTTTCCTAGCCTTAAGCCATTACTAAGAAAAAAGAAAAAACTCTTCTCTGCTTCTATTAGAAGGAGATAAGTTCTTGTACCACCTGAAACCTTGACAGCCCATCATAGTATCCTATATCTACATGACATAGTCTACCTCATAATTAACTCTAGGGAGGAAAAGTAGTTAAGTTGAATATCGTAAATTCCTGTTTAATTTAGAATTTAGTTTACTGATTTCGAGGTACTTTCTGCATTACATTTTTTTAATTGGGTATAGAAAGAGTAGATACTCTAATTTTGGGAAAATTTCTGAGAGTTTCCCAAATATAGGGATTTTTATAGGTTCAGCCTGTTTTCCAATACCTAAATCTCTAAGACTGTTGAATGATACTGTGAAATTCTCCAGAACCTTCAGGATTATTTAAAAAAATGAAGTATAGGACTTCCCTGGTGGTGCAGTTGTTAAGAATCCGCCTGCCAATACAGGGGACATGGGTCGAGCCCTGGTCCGGGAAGATCCCACATGCTGCGGAGCAGTAAGCCTGTGAGCCACAACTGCTGAGGCTGCGCTCTAGAGCCCATGAGCCACAACTACTGAGCCCGTGTGCTACAACTACTGAAGCCCTCGTACCTAGAGCCTGTGCTCTGCAACAAAAGAAGCCATCGCAATGAGAGTAGCCCCTGCTCACCGCAACTAGAGAAAACCCACGTGCAGCAATGCAGACCCAATGCAGACAAAAATAAATAAGTAAATAAAATTTATTTTAAAAAAATGAAGTATAGTTTTATGATCAATGTATTTTATTTTTATTTAAAAAAATCGTTAACTCATGAATGATGCATGTTATACTCTCAGGTAACTAGAATAATAAGCTAATTTATTAAATAACACTTTGTTCTCCAGTCATTCTGGAAAAGAGTTTACTTATTTTGGGATATTTTGAAAATAGCATCATCTCAGGAGAAGAGCTCAGTTTATCAGTAGGACTATGAAAGCACGAGTTGGAGGCAGAACTAATACTGTCTTTTTGTATGTAGGAAAGGAAAGTTTTGCGGGAAGTGCTAAAATACTTACGAAGAAAGTTATCTTTGGTACAAATAGTTCTTCATGGGACTTTTACCTAAGTATAATAAAAGTAAATCAGTTTGAGATATAGACAGAATAATTTGATACATACATTGCAATAACTTTTCAAATATTTTAAGGACCAACTATAGAACTGCACCAAAGAAAAAAGCCAAAGTCTTCAGAAAATAAAGAATCTGCCAAAGAAGAGAAAATCAACAATACAGCAATTCCTGAAAGAGTTCCAAAACGTAAGTTAGAGAGATTTGGAGTTTTTATGCTATTACAAAAATAGTTACGTTAGGTAATATATTTTACATTAATATTTCAAAGTATAAACATATTTTATCTTAAGTATGTGGTGATATTGGTCAACTTGCATTAGGTTTTGCTGCAGAACAATTCCTAAGTCTCACTGGCTTACAAAAAACATTTATTTATGATCAACATTACATGTTGTGGCTGTAGGTTGGCTGATGTAGCTTCATGTCATGAAGGCATAATCCCTATTTGGGATATGTTTTTCTTGTGGCAGAGAAAAAGAGCAGGAGAACAGGCAGAGTCATGCAGTACCTCTTAAAATTTCTGCTGAACTGGCACACTGTCACTTGTACTCACATTCTGTTGGCCCAACCAAGTCATATAATCAATCTAGACAGTGGGATGGAGAAGTTTAGTTGACTACAGGGAAGCATGGCAAGTCACATGGTAATAGGCAGGGATGAAAAATCTTTTTATAGGAAAGGACAAAATAGTTGGGAATAAGAATAAGTCTACCACATTCTGGCCTTTTGGTCATAAATATTTACTTGTCTCCCTCAGACAAAATATACTTGGTACCTCCCCGACCCCAAGGAAGACACCCAGTGTTATCCAGTCAGGGCATCAGTCTTGAAGCCCAAGGTCTTGTTATCTTCATCAGGGTCAGCTATGACTCATTCAATCCAGAGACCTATGAATTAAAAAGACAAGTTATCTGCTCTGTGTCAGGGGTCCCCAAGAACACCACCATGTTCAGAGATTAGGAGGAGTCACAGGTCTCAGAATTTATTCATACTCACAGCTGTAATTTATTACAGTGAACAATACAAAAGAAAATCAGCAAAGAGAAAGGACCTATGGGCTAAAGACTGCAAGAAACTAGGCAGAAGCTTCCAAGTCACATAGGACATACATAATTCCTTCAGCATCAAATTGTGACATTTGTGGGTTTTTCTACCTGGGAAGCTTATTAGCAGCTCTGCTCAGGGTTTTTACTGGTGGCTGGTCATGTAGCCTCTGCTTAATGCATAGGAAAATTCTAGATTCCCAGAAGGAAAGCAGTAGGTATGAACCACACTGTTTGCACAAATAAGTTAGGCACAGTAAACCACTCATTAGAAAATGGTGGGAACCCTTTTGAAATCCAGGTTCCCAGATGCCTGCCAAGAGCCTGCCTTGTAAGCAGGCTTTTCTTAGCAAAGCACATGCCCCCTCTACTCATTATACACTTTTGGATGAGGATATGATATCAAAATAAATGCTTCCATTCAGAAAGAGGAAGAGTGAGAGACACATTAACCACTGGTCCATAGCAATTTTGAAATCCTACTAGGTAAATATGAGGTCTTCCTCCTCTGGGGAATGTTTCTTGATTAGGCCCTAGTTGTTTTCCTTGGAAGTAGTTTCCCAGTTCATTGTTCTTTGTCATCCTTGGCTTCATCCTCTGGAGGTCCTTCCGTTTCTGTTATCCTTCTGAACCATATCTGAAAGTGGCTTTGGAGAATATGCCATCCTTAGGAGCTGAACAGCTTTCGTAAATAGATTCTTTCCCATAGGGAGTTCAGGGGCCATTTATATAAATTTGCTCACATAAGATAAAGGCAGTGAGTCACCTACAGATCTAGTTCAAAGGTTAGCAGCAAGAAAACTTTTTGGGAGCTGGAAAATAATAATCCATCTGCGTGACAAAACATTTTATAAAACTGTTTCCTGTGAATAGTTGCAATTTTAATACTAATTTTTAAATTATTTTAGGTAACAAGATCACAAACAGAATATTACTAGAGTACCTTGATTATCAGCAGCTTTTTTTCTTTTTGACATTTTTATTTTAGACTGCAAAAAACAAAAACGAGCAAACAAACAGACAACAAAAAACTTGAAATAGGCTTGTCAAATGATGTAAATTCATCCTTTCCAGGGAAGCAGAAGATAGACCAGTGCAGGTTATCCTCAAGGCCACATATATCCTGCTTCACTGCTGCTTGCACTCTGCTGGGTTTTGATCCTTCTTTGGGTCATAGTCTGGATTATTTTCCTCATCTCCTTCTTCTTCCCCTTCCTCATCTGCTTCTTCACCCTCTTCATCATAATCATCATCATCTTCAATAGCTTCTCCAGTAAAGTATAACACTGATCTTGGGATTATATGCTCACGTAAAAAGTGACCAATTTCAAAGTCCACAGCAAGGATAGCTTCAGCCATCATCCAGATCTCCACTCTCAGGAACTTCAGGAGGGGCAAAAACATTAAAGAAAGAGTCATTAGAAACTTTTTTGGTCACAGTATGAATTGTCCCACATCCCTTATGTTTCTGTTTCTTCTTAATGGTTTTCAAAGTGACATTCTTCCCTTTTTTCCAATCTATCTGGCACACTGTACAACCCATAATTTCTGGTCCATCAAAAGAAAAAGGATCAGAATCATCTGGTTCTGACCTCATCCTATATGTCTTTGTCAGCCCTTCATTTGTCAAATATTCATTGGGTTCAAAGTGAAATTCTAAGACAAAACTCATAGGCTGACCAGCATCTGAGAACTTCACTTCAATATCTTTCAAGTGCTTCAGAATAGGTTCATCCCGTTCCTGAACCATATCACTGACCAAGTCAACATTCTTAAACATGGTCAGCCAAAATTCAGGAATTCTCTTGGGGTCTTCTTTTTCTTCATCCTTTTTCTAATCTACAATCTTGGCCTTTTATTTTAGCTCCTCCGAAATTTTATCTTCCTCATCTGGTTTCCATTCACATTCTTCTTCTATAGGTTCATAAATGGCATAATGATCTCAAATCACTTATCAAATAGAGGCTGATAGGGAACAGCATACCTTCTTTCAAGATCATGAACTTCCTCATAGAACTTGGCTTCTATCTGTGCACATTTAACTTGAAGGTTTTTGAGAGCATTCACACATCTTTTAACTACCCTAGACAAGTTGTCGATGTCTGCCATGTTGTATGAATGCCAAATATCAGTGGCTAGCAGGGGGAGCCAGGCGGCCAGAGGTGTGCAGGCAGTGACTCAGGGCGGCGGTGGGAGGAGCAGAAGCTATCAGCTACTTTTGATTACAGGAAAGAGACACATGAGAACAGAATTGGCCCATTTGCAGTCAGGAAAGAAGAGGAAAATAGGAATCCAAAATTTCTGGGGCTTGTAGTGTTGAAATTAGTATTGTTTGTCTTTTCAACTAGGAAAAAATATTCAATAAAATTGAGAAATACTTTAAGTAACAAAGGCTGATTAAGATGAATCCTTAGGGCAACGCCCAAATCAAGGGCATGACTGTCACATAGTTTGTTAAAATGTATGAATGGATTAAAGTAGCTCCTACTAACTCCATTCAGTTGAATAAAGCACTCAGGGAAAAAGAACAAAGGGTGTGGCTTTATGTGACAAATAAACAAAGCTTCATAAGCTCAAAATACTTGTAGTTAAATCTTTGAGAGAGGCTTATCTAGAAGAATTGTGGGTATAGTTATTGGAGTATGGAGTTGACTGGAATCAAGTAGGTAAAAAGCCAACAAAATTGTCTTTTCTTTGCAAAAATGAATGATTTAATTTAAAAAAATTAAGATATAACTAACATGTCATAAAATGCACAGAATCAGGGCTTCCCTGGTGGCGCAGTGGTTAATAATCAGCCTGCCAATTCAGGGGACAGGGGTTCAAGCCCTGGTCCGGGAAGATACCACATGCCGCGGAGCAGCCAAGCCCGTGCGCCACAGCTACTGAGCCTGTGCTCTAGAGCCCATGAGTCACAACTACTGAGCCCGTGTGCCACAACTACTGAACCCTGCACGCCTAGAGCCTGTGCTTCACAACAAGAGAAGCCACCGCAATGAGAAGCCCGTGCACCACAACAAAGAGTAGCCCCTGCTTGCCACCACTAGAGAAAGCTTGTGTGCAGCAACGAAGACCCAACTTAGCCATAAATAAATAAATAAATAAATAGAAAAGAAAGCCCTGCTTAAAAAAAAATGCACAGAATCATAGGTATTTAATGAAATGAGTTTGGGTACTTGACTACAACTAAGATACATAACATTCCCTTATCCCAGAAAGTTCTTTTGTGTCCCTTTCCAGGAGATTTTCCCTGTACCCCCCAAAACAACCACTCTTCTGATATTTTTCAATATTGATTAACTTTGCATGTTCTAGAATTTCATATAAATGGAGTCATACAACATATATGTCCTTGTGCCTGGATTCTTTCACTTAGCTCAATATATTATCCTTTAAAAATATAATCATTTTGAGATTCATTCTTCTTGCTGTAAGTGTTCTTGCTTTTCCTATTGGACATTTGAGTAATTTCCAGTATTCTGCTATTATGAATAAGGCTGCTGTGAATACTTGTACGAATCTTTTTGTGGACGTCTATTTTTATTTCTCTTAGGTAAAAACCTAGGAGAATTGCTGGCTAAGCTTTGAGAAAGACATACTGTCAAAAGAACTGCCAGCCTAGATTAAGGACACAACTATTCATGTCTTAAAATGATGTATGAGTCCCTAACTTTCTACATGCAGAAAGCAGGCTGAGTAAGCTGCTCTAAGGGTATCTTTCTTGAGAAGGAGTGAGTGTGTTTTGCCTTTGGGAGGGAAGTAGACATTTGTGACTATTGGGGCAAATCCTGGTGGATCCTTCTATTGTTTCCAAATGTTTTCTCCCTGCCCTGAAAGTGGATTGTACATTCCTTCCCATTACCATGTGATTTGGATTGCCTCTCTGAAGTGGAGTATACTTCCCTACCCCGTTGTCAGGTTTATCCATGTGACTTTCCTGGGCCAATGGAATGTGAGTGGAAGTAGCAGTGTACTAGTTCTGACCAGAAATTATAAGAGGCATTGTATGTTTTTGTCTGTTCTGCTGCTCTTTTCCTTTGTAATGAGAACAGCATGTCCCAAATAGGGACTGATCCCATTCTGGAATTCTGAAGATACAAGAAGAGCCACAGCTAATCTGAAGTCTGGAATTGAGTGGAGAGT